ATTGGAGTAGTAGATTGGTTTATACCTAACCACGGTCTGCGCAAGAATAGGCTGTTTTCTGTTTCAAGCGATTGCTGGCTAATGGATCGCCAAGAGAGTCCAGGATGTGCAGTGTGGAATGAAGTGGTTCCAGTAATGTGGTATACCACCGCTTTCCAGGATGGGGCCGATGTGTTCAGGCCTATAAAGTGGTTGGATACGATGCAGGAAATGGTACACGACCGACCCCATTAGCACCCAGCTGTCGTCTACTAACCCGAATGAGCAGTTAAAGATTGCCTATGGTTGTTCTCTGGGCTAGCATCGAGTGGTTCTTGAAAAAGGACTCCGTGTCCAATCCAGATGATGGCGACTCAGTTTGAGAGGAAGCTCCTCAATGAAGTAAGTATCTCGTAAATACGTAATAAACTGCTCACAAGGTTGTTGAAAACTCCCTGACAGCCCAGGATGGGTTCCACTCCTCTTTTGGCTCATCAGGAAGGCACAGTCTTTGAAACTAGTAGTGGGCTGACAGTGTTTTCAGCGACCTTACGATACAGGAAATTCATTTATTTTAGAACATCGTAAACGAGAGATTCAGCTGGGTTCAAGGTGAGTCCCCATTAGAACAGATGTGTGTGTAAGTCGAAGTAGGCACCTTCTTAATAGGATACAGCTTCTTCACACTAACTCAGTACAACTCCATTTGCTTTCCATTCTTCCCCACTCTGTTATATGCTAGTTATGTAACTATATTGTTGTCAATCCATATTATAATAACACTGAATTTTGTTTCATGCTATATATATATATATATATATATATATATATGTTGTCTACACAGCTGTCAAGGATACAGGTCACCCGTGCACCGACCAGTGGAGAGAATAGGGGAGAGTACGCTCAAAGGTCAAATGATTACCAATCTATCAGGATAACAGAGTAACCTGACCGGACAGCCAGTCGTCACCGAACGTCATTCCGGGCTAGCAGCATGCACAATATTTAACGCACAAACACTGACTTGACCGTAGGCCCCCTAACAACACAGTGATGATGTCATCCTTATTGGTAATAAAAAGTTCGCAATCTAATTGCCTAAACCAACGAACATTAGGAGTTCATGTTCCGAACTAAAGGTGGTAAAATTCGTGAAGACTGATTGCCCCAATTCAGAAAGAACAACTTTGCGAAGGTGTGACTCAACGACAACGCTTCGAAAACAACCTGAGTTTTCTAGCAGCGGCTAGAAGAGGGAGTTTGGTGCACTTAGCTTTATCCTTTGAACAACACGCTACCAATACCACAATAGAATCAAGCTACCTAGTAAATCGGTGTGCAACGGTGGGTTATTTTGACAGTGCTACAGCACATTCGGGTGTCCAAACCTTGTAAGAAGAGTAGTGTTTTTACTACCACATCAGTAGGTACAAACAAATCTGGATTAAATATGCCCTTTTTCCAGTCGCCTGTCTTGTTGGCTCGTCTTTCTTTGGTTTCTGTCCCCATATTGATATAGTGTATTTGATCTGCGGTTCTCTATGCAAAGCTGCTAGTAGAGTGCTCATAAACGAATGACGAGCTAGCACGCATTACAGTGCACTCATTCGCAAGTGTGGTCTCAAATAATCGATAAATTCAAATATACACCAATGGTCCATTGGCTGAATGATTTACCTTCATGCATGGCGCAGTGGTAATATCATGGGGGCAGTTTACTGGTGCTTCCTCGAGATTCTGAGTCTTATGCATATGGCACTATACCACCCAACTTTTGCAGAAGAATATTGCAACACTATGGTGAATAGCTGGGACTTTCCTCATGGCGCAACATATATGAATGACGATCGATCCAGCAGAGGCATTGCATACATGAGTACCGAAGGAGAGGTAATATCATTCCAAACCGATCCCCTGAACGTTGTTGAGAGTATCCTCTCGCTAGATGTTCGACAAGGAAATATAATTTTCCGTTGTAGATTTGAAGATGCGTGCTGCCGTAAGGAGGTGTCAAAGTCTGAAACCTGCAAGTTCCCTCACTCGGCAGTACAAACAGGCAGCTCGGTGATGTATTTCACAGCAAGCAATGCCATTAACGAACACAACTTGCTTATCCTGTTCCTTGTGAAGAGGCATAGTGGATACACAGGGGACAGTGGTGAGCAACAAGAGATAAAGTCACTCCAAAAGTACTTTTCTACGCATCCCAATAGAAACGATACTGTGGTTTGCCCACAATTCGGAAAGTATGGTCACTGGACCGAACCGCCGAAGGTAGGACAGTTTCTTAGGAAAGAGCATGAGATTCATCGTTTGGAGCCAAAACAGGTACAGAAAAAAGCTGACCACGAAGAGTACACAAATTTGACATTCAATCTGTGTATGTTTTCTACCGACCTTCAAACTAAGGAATTTTGGCACATCTATTACCGAAAAGAAACCGATACTTTCAAAATAACGAAGACTCCCCTAATTCAGAGCCGAGTCACAAATTCCAACTGCACCTACACCTCATTTACCCATCGCATTCAATGGCATTCAAAATTCCGGCAGCACTCTCGCAATTGGGAGGGCAGCTTAATGCTCGCGAGACATACAAAAGCGATATTGTTTCTTAGCTATGAAAGTCGATCTGCTAAAGTTGTTGACGGAGTATTAAGATCTTTTTTGAGAAAGTGGATAGTTGAGCGGGATCTTAATCACCGTTGGTCCTGGCCTGACTCAGTTCAATATCCAGCAATCCAAATGACTAGTTTTACCATGCGAAGGAATGCTATATTCCAGGAGGGACAAGATAAAATCTTGTGGATAGATGAAGATGAAATACATCACACAATAGAGCGATACTGTTGTAAGCGACTAACCAGGTTGCATGACTGTCAAGAAACCAAACGTATGTTATCAAGACCAGGAAAGCCCTATTTCGAAATGCGTAAACTAACTATTCGAGACAGTGGGATGTATACATGCCGAAATCCACCTGGGGTGAAACCAGATCACAATTTTGTCACCGACTACTACATCATCGTGCTTCCGCGAAAAAAAGACGTTAATGCATATTTAAGTGAACGAAGCCTGTCACCAAAGGACGTAATCGTGGACAATTATCCCACCCAGGACGTTCTCAACCGATCGTATTTCAATGGAAATAACCCCGTTTACGCGAACTGTATTTACTTGCTATCGAAGGGACTAGACAACCATGATGGGTACCGTATTAACTATAGCATACCCGGAAATTATAAACAAACCGCGAATTTCACGCGTGACCTAGGTGATATGTTTATTTTTGTAGCTTCACATGCAATTGAGCCAGAATACGATGACCTTCAAGCCGTGGTGAGTGAGTTCACATGCTCATATTATTACAGCCAGACATTTTACTTGGTTCAGCACCTTCCCAATGTGCCTAATCACCTTTCCAGAGTTGTGAGTTCGCGAACACTGGTCGCGCTGAGACACAATTCCCCAAAGATCATCACTTCATCTATCGAAACTAGTGAACACATCTTGACAAACCTACTGCGAAGACCATCTGTATCACTTGCTGACCTTTACCAAGACCAAGCAAATGACAAGTGGGTTAAAGATAAAATGGTTGAGGGTCTTATTTATGGCTCTTTCGTTGTACTGGTTAATGAGTATGCCGGCTGGAGTTCTACAACAACTTATAAAGAATTAGGTGTAGACACGTCTGTTGTTGCTAATCCTTGTACATTTCACATTGAGAAGTTGGTCATAAACCCGGGCGACTACTTGTTGAGTGCACCGGAGATGGTCGATTCGTATACTCTGATTGCCAAACAAGTTCAATTTCAATGTATGATCGTCCTGAACAGCAGAGGAATGGCACTAGGTGCTTACAATCCAAAGCACGAACAGATCGACAGGAACAAAGTGGAACTTGACGTTAATAATCGAATAATTCATCTCCTGAGCAAACCAGATCAGAAAGTTCAGCATCAAGTTTCTGATCTGGAAGAAAGAATTTCTGCTGAATTTAAACTCGCAAGGTGGCAAGTTGGATGGCGTGGCACCATAAATGTGGGAGAGAGAATCAAAATGTTTTGGCATGCAAATGATACCAAATCGAGCACAATTAGATGTAAGTACAAAATGGATGAGACCTCGGTATCGATTCCGGCACCCGAAAGCTTTGAGGTGCGTACTTTTATGAAACATAATTTATTTGAGCTGGTCAAGTGGGAAGCCAGCGAGCTAGATTCCGGGTTATATCAGTGCTATACTTGTCAAGATTGTCCTGAACTTGACAAAGTGATTCCACGTCGTCTTGTAGTTTTACCAGATCCCTCAAAAATACATTTATCCGTTGATTATGGCAGTGCCAATCACAGCGGTTCGGGAACGAAAGAGGATCCGATAGAGACCACTGCCGTGTCAATGCTTTTCAAGTGTTCCTATTTGGCCTATGGAGGACTGACCGCCGATGTGAGTCTGGTAGTGACCTACGAGACCTGTATACCCAACAAAGAGGAAAAATTGCAATTAAAAACGATCGAAAATCAGAGGATGAGTGAACCATTGGGGAACTTTACTAGGCTATATGTTGTGTTTACAGTTACTAAGCCGGAAGCGTATGAATACTGGGAGTATGTCACAGTGAGTTGTATTGTGCTGTTCTCTAAACTAATAAGGGACCCTTATGATATTTTTGATGACTCTGACAGTCATAACCTAACCAAAAGCCTGTATTACAAATTCGACCTTCCTCGCTCCCCAGTCATTCTTCGAGAATTCATCGAATCCTCGAGCAGCTCAGTTACGCTAGCACTACGTCATGAGAACGCGAGTGATTTGATGTCTTTCACTTCGGGCCGACAAGTCCGTGAAATAGAACACGTCTGCACTTTTGATTACACTGTTTTCATGGGTCTTCCTAAAGGATGGACGAGAACATGGACCATTGCAGAAACTGAGACGGGATTCAAGTCGGTGGATTCTTTCACTTCCGACAAGTCCGTGAAATAGAACACGTCTGCACTTTTGATTACACTGTTTTCATGGGTCTTCCTAAAGGATGGACGAGAACGAACACCATTGCAGAAACTGAGACGGGATTCAAGTCGGTGGATTGTGTGCTGAACCGCGTCTATGTAATAAAAGATCCAAAATCCATCCATGGTCT